TTTTTTTTTTTTTTTTTTTTTTGTCTGCCAGCATTACTTCATTAATTCAATGAAAAGCCAAGGCAGGGTGCTGAATATTACATGTTATTATGGGAAGGGTGCTGAAATAGAAAGAGCCTTAGATGGGTTCCTCTATTTGTTAGCTTTGAATATTGAACAGGCCATTTGATGGTAACAGTTGTATAAAATATTACCACTGACTGAGTACTTAAGATGTGCTAACAGCTAAATAAGATGGTAAAAATCATGTGTATATTCAGAAATACAATGTCCAAGGTACTTAAGATGCCTGATTCACCAGACAAAGTTGAAATTGTGTACAACACCTCCTCGAGACCTGTTATGGTTAAGAGGGTATCATGAAACAGGTTTTTAGTGTAGTAACATATGTTATAAAAATAACAGTAACAAAACTAATGACCCAAATTTGTTTTGAAGAATAGTGCAAAACTAAATGTAAAATATTTGGAAAGGCTGTGGGGGGGGTGCCTTTCCCCTTAATAGAAAATTCACCTGATTCTAGTCTCTGGTCATGCTAATATTGTTACTGATTTTCTTCAATGCTGGTGAAAGAACACAGCCAGGCCATGTCTGAAAGTGAGATCCAGTCTCTCCCTCTCCTTCTGCCCCAGTAGTAAGCTTCTATGATCACAGTTGTCCTTGTCAGCATCCAGCTGTCCTTCTGTTCCGGACATTGCTCCCTGTCTTGTAACCCCTGGCTTTTCATGTTCCCACAGCCACCTCCCCACAAGCTCCCTCAACTCATCTTTCTGCCTTTATATGACTGCTTATATGACTGCTTTATATGACTGCTTGTCATAGTGCTGATGTTTGGTACTCATTCTAGCATTGGAATAATTTAACTCATCAACTTGCTTCTTACTGTTTTCTAAAGAGCTAGATTAATGTAGAGCATAGTATTGCAGCTGATTCATTTATTTTGGGATGATTATGTACTTATTATTGCTAGACATATGAACACATTGAAAAATCAAACAAATTTAGTTTAGCATTGACAGCATACATTTTTAAAGAAAATTCATAAATGCAAATGATGTTAAAAGAAATGTCAGTTTTGTTTTCTAATTTCATGTCTTTAATCTGCTTGATTTTAGGACGAATAACCTTTACAGAACCAAATATCCAGAATGTGCCAAGAGATTTTGAAATCAAAATGCCAACCTTCATAGAAGAGAGCCCCCCTTCCCAAGCCCTAGGCAGAGGCCTGCTTCCCATGGGCAGGTAGGGATTCTCTATCTGGGTATTAATAAACTTTTGAGAGTATGAACAGCTTGAAAGTAGCCTACTATACAAAATAATGATGTGAGTTTATGTTCCAGATGTACCCATTCCTATTGTAAGCACTACCCTTTTCAAGTCCCAAGTCCGTCTCTAATGAAGCTAGCAGGTATTGAAAGGCTGAAAATCTAGGCTATTGATCAAATCAATCAGGACTGTGGGCTTGTTTAAGCTAAAATGGTGAAGGGATGGGTAGCAATGCCAGCAGCACCTCTTCTGCCTGTCCACCTTCCTGTACTAACACGACGGGAAGAAACAGCACAGATCATTTGTGTGGGATCTAGCTAAAGGGATTTGTTGGGTTACATGATAGTGAATTGTCTCAGAAAGAGAGCGTAGGAAAGGTGATTACAGTAATATTTAATTGAACAGTTGCTAAAAGAGGTCTAGTATCTTTATTACTCTCTAAAGCCAGTTTCAGATTGTTTTTAATGCTTCTTATATAGAAATATTGACTGCACTATGAAATTAGAAACAGTATTTCACATATTTAAGATGCTTCATGTCTAGCTGATAGTGTTGTTTGTACCACAGAGGACAAAATAAGAGGGGTTGTGTCCGGAACCCTGGGTGCCAGTCACAGATGGAGAAAGCCTCAGACAAAGGGATGCCATTTTCAGTGAGCATGCGACATGCTTTTGTACCTTTTTCAGGTAAGATATCTGGTGGTTTTTGAGCTTCTTATTGCTGAGGGAATGTTTTTTAAAACACTGGAAAATCCTGCCATATGAGTGGGACTCAGAAACATACACTGGTCTCTCCATCTCTCCTCTCTGCCTCACAGCCTGTCTTCCCTTTGTTTCATCAGGTTTATAGCAATCACTTATTGTTGTATTCATGACCTGCCTTCTGTGACACTTCTGGTGTGGCTTAGCACAGCACTGGTGGTCTGCTGGAGCCCTGTTTTGAAGGCTCTCATAAATGCTTTTATAAAATGCCACAGGTTGTGTTAGTTTCCATCCACTTTCACACCTCTATAGCATTTGTCCCTGCTAATCAACTTTGTCTTCCTCACTTTCTCTAAGAGCACACTCCTTTGATCTCTCTCTCTCTGTGACTTGTTTTGCTCCGGTGTTTCTTCTCCCTTTCTGTCCACTCCTTTTTTCTGTTGTGTGGAATGGGCCCAATACTGAACTCATTCTCCCTGACCACTCCTAAGTCTCTAGTCATAAACCTGTTTGTCATCAAAACATGGAACTTGTGATCTGACTCCCAAATCATCTCCACTATTAATTAGTATGCAAATTGCCAGCTGGCAAGTCCAGGTGAGTGCAATGAGCCATCTGAATTTATTTTGAATTCTGTCAGAAATCAATATTCAAAGTGTCAGCTCAAGGTCTATAATAAGGCAAAAAATTTCAGTTTGATTTTTTAAGTGTCAGCATTTAAAGTTCAGTTATGTTTATGCAAGAGAATGGAAGTCCTGTGTGGTGTATGGTGATTTCCTAATGGAGTTATGCTATCCTGAGTTTCTCTTGAGTTTGTGGAAAGGAAAGAGCATGCTTCAGTTTGTAAGTAATGTTGCTTAATAGGACTAGTGTGAGGCTTATTCAGAATTTGAAATATTTTAGTTGCCATTTTGTTACACTTGATTCTAGCCAAAAGGCCGAGAAGCAATAGTAGCCATGTTATTAAGATTTCCCTACTTATATTATTTGAAAGGTCTTACCAAATCCTACAGCATGTAAGCCTTTTATTTACAATAAAGGATATGATAGATTAATTTTTAGTTTCTTAGGCACCCTTCATTTCCTTCGTGGTTGTACTGGTTTACATTCCCACCAACAGCGTAGAAGTTTCCTTTTCCCCCACAGCCTCAGCAATATATATTATGCTTTGGATTTGCTTGGGGTGAGATAAAATCTCAGAGTACAATAGTTTTGATTTACATTTTCCTGATGGCTAAAGATGTTGAACATTTTTTCATATAATTACTGGCCATTTGAACTTTTGAGACATGTCTATTTAGTTCATTTGCCCATTTATTGATTAGTTTTTTTGGTGTGAAATTTATTGTTCATTTATTAATTTAGTATTTTGGTGTTTAATATCTTCAGTGTTAAGTTTTTTGAGTTCTTAATGTGTTCTGGGTAGTAATTCTCTGTCAGGTGAATAGCTGGCAAAGATTTTCTCCCATTCTCTGTTGTTTTTTTCTTTTGCCATATGGAAGCCTTTTAATTTGATGCAATCTCATTTGTCAGTTCTTGCTGTTATTTCTTGAGGTACTAGGGTCCTTTTCAAGAGATTGTTGCTAGTTCTAGATCTTGAAGTATTTCTTCTGTGTTTTCGTCTAGCATTTTCAGTTTCAGATCTTTAGGTATTTGATGCATTTTGAATTGCCTTTTGTACAGGGTGAGATAGGGATCTATCAGCAGCCATTCTGCATAATTTCAGGGAAAATCATTTTACAATTAAAATATGATTAGGGCTGTCTGAGGCCTCAGTAGTCCTGTGATACAGTGATGCTGTAGGCCAAGATTACATCAGGTGAAGACATTCTGCTTCTTAAGAACCCCTCTTCTACATATGGATATCAAGTTTTCATAGCACCTTTTGTTAAAAAGGCTGTCTTTTCTCCATATATATTTTTGGTAACTTTACTATAAATCAGATGGCTGTAGCTATGTGGGTTTATTTCTGTGTTCTCTGTTCTAGTCCATTGACCTACATATCTATTTCTATGCCAATACCTATTTTTGTTACTGTGGATTTGTATAATATATATTTTATTTTGTTTTATTTTTTGAGGCAGGGTCTTACTACGTAGTTGAACTCACATGTTGGCTATCCTTGAACTCACAATGATCCTCCTACCTCATCCTCCCAAGTTCTGGGGTTGCAGGCATGTACCACCTCCAGCATTGCCCATTTTTCTTGAGATGGCTTTGGCTAGTCTAGGTCTTTTGTGCTCCCATGTGACTTACAAGATTTTTTTGCCTAGTTCTGTGAATAATGTCACTGATATCATGATGGGTTTGCATTAAGTCTGTGAATTGCTTGGTAGTATAACCATTTTGACACTATTAAAGGTCTTTCTATCTTCTAATATCTTCTTTAGTTTCTTTCTTCCAGTGTCTATAGTTTCAAGTCTTTCACCCCTTTGGTTAGGTTTATTCCTTGGTGTAATTGGGGTTTATTTGGTTGTTGCTTATTTGCTTGTTTGTGTGTGTCTGTGTGTGTGTGTGTGTGTGAGAGAGAGAGAGAGAGAAGGAGAGAGAGAGAGAGTGTTGTGTACTAGTCCACTGCTTTGTGTATACCCAAAACAGTTAAAGTCAAAATGTTGCATATTGTAGACTCCCGAATAAACACGTTTATCATGGTACAGTTCACAACACCCAAGTTGCGGAAGGAGTTTAGATCCCTATCAGTGGATGAATGCACAGATACAATATGGCATACATATCCTATGAAGTTCTAGTCAGCCAAAAAGAGTATGTCATTTGCAAGATAATGGGTGGAACCAGAGATCATCATGTTAAGCAAAATAAGCAAGATTCAGAAAGACAAGTATCATATGGTTTCTTTTACTTGATGGTGGGGTAACAACATGAAAGCAGAAGGGAGACTACTGGAAGACGAAAAGGGCCAGCTGAGCGGGGGCATAGGAGGGTAATGGGGGAGTGGTTGTGATAGACATATTAACAATGTACAGTGAAACCCCTTACACTGTATAATTAATATGCATTGATTAAAAAGGAAAACAGCAAACAAAAGCGAGTATAGGTAAGCATTTTAGGTCCAAACGATGCTGTTTGCCCAAGCTCCCCATGTTTTTATTTACTTAGAGACAACACTTTGTCTTGAGCTACCAAGATCTCTGAAGGAGTCTACTCTGGGAAAGCTCAAAGCAGAGGTCCCAGTGGAAACTTACACTCAAGCCAGGTTGATTAAAGCAGACAGGTCAGTTGCAAGCCATCAATAAGAAGCTACATCTGGTATTTGGCAGGTTAATCTCTAATTCTGACTAAGTAAAATCTTCAATGTCCAGATATCCCTAGAGACAGACAGAGCTTTTCCAATCCACCTGTACATCAGCTGTGTCTTTTAAATACATGGAAGTGGGAGGAGAGAGCTGAAACTAATTTATTTTTCTTTTTATTGAGTTTATTGGTACAACCTACGTATACAATACAGTTACGTTCATCACTGGGATTCTGTACCTTTACATAATGGGTCTTGATTCTCATTTTTTCCCCTTGTCCCTGCCCTCCCCTCATCCCCTGCTCCCCTCCCCATTTACAAACACTTTTATTTCCATTTTTTCAGTTTCTCATATTTTTTTCCTCTCCCTTATTATCTTTCCCCCACCCTTTCCACTTTCCCTACACCTTTAGCCCTTTACTTCCTATTTCACATTATTAATTATCTCATTAGGTTCCTGTGTACTATTGTAGTTTTTCATACCAAAGAAACTATTCGGTATTTCAGTTAAAGAAATCTCTGTATGAACATTAAAAAATAGGGAATCCAAAAATAAAACTAAAAAGGAAAGTAAAAGAGAAAAGGCAATGATGTATCATTAAAATAATCCTAAAAATAATCCAATTCTGGAGATGAAAATGGCCCCTGAACATATTTAAATTGCTTCTCGCTCTTATAGTCTTATCCTATTCTTTTTTCATTATTTAGATAATACTTTATTAGTTTCTGTAATCAAACCCATGTAGATGTAACCTTACATATTTAGTACGATGTGTTAGCCCTGTACACATGGAAAAAAATAAAAAAAATAAAAAAAATTAACATGTCTAGACCAATATGGATGTCCATTTCTGTACAATGCCAACTCAACACAGTAAATGGGATAACTTTTTCCAAAGTTGGCAGCACCGTTAAAGTTTCCCAAAATTCAAATTTTATATGTGTGTGTGTGTGTGTGTGTGTGTATATATATATATATGTTTATATATATATAAAAAGACTAGTAATAGCAGTATGCTATGCATCAACAGCAGCAACTGCTTTTCCAGGTTCTGCAGTCATCTGAACAAAATTATAGACATTCAGCACATTCCATTAAAAAAAAAAAAAAAGAAAAGAATATTATCCAGACAACAGCAAAGTTCTGTTGCTGTTGTGGTACCTGGCACCATTTTTTTATTAGCATCTTAATCATCAAAAGAAAGAGAACATTCTAGAGTAATATCATTAAATGTAGCTCTGATAAAGCACAGTCCCTACTATGTGTCATAAAGCAGGTACAAGATATTTTACATTCATAGAAGTATGATACAGTACCATCCTACCTCAATAATACTAGAATCAGTTTTGGTTCGAAATTTACTTTGTCTGCAAATAAGACTGCTACCCTTGTTTTTTTCTGGGCTCCTGTCACATAGAGAATTGTTTTCTATCTTTTCACTTTCAGTCTATGGGCTTCTTTTTGCACTAGGTGTGTTTCTTGTATACAACATATTGTTGGATTTTGCTTCTTATTCCATTTGGCCAGTCTATTTCTCTTGATTGATGAGTTGAGGCCATTGACATTGCTGGTTATAACTGATATGACTTCCATTTTGCTCACTATGTCTGTGGTTATCTGGGAAATTATTTCTGTTTTGAATTTTTCTAGAGCCTCATTGATCTGTTTTGTTACTTCCTCTGCCTTGAGTTAAGGGTGTCCTGGTGGTTCACTACTGGCCTTTTCATCCTC